ATAAAAATAAGTACAGGAAAAAGGAGCCCTAGCTAAAAAGGTTAAAACAATGGGGACCGAAGTAGCCATGCGTGTGACCACCATATAGTTACAAAAGAAAAGGCTTCCATTAGCTTCTACATGATTCAAAAGGTATGACAGTCCGATGCACGAAGCATCACGCATTTATGTAGGGTATGGAGAAGGGTCGCACCCAAAAAGTGTGATGTAGGCGACGTATCCTAATTAATGCAAGTATTAGTGGCTGTTTTCACAGCTCGAACCCGTAACTGATAAATCACACGTAGACGACTTTACCATTGCTCCAAAGACTCCTCTAATCCTCTTCTGTGTGATTCAAATGGGTTTATATGTATGAATCTCAGAAAATTATACGGTCCAAATAAAACAAAAATGTATATCGAAAAATTATATTATGCAAATCGGAGAAAAATAAATAGAGATGTTCGTCCTTGAATTTTAGATGTGACATTTTAGTTTTGTTTTTTCCCTCTGAATTTCTTTGTCAGAATTCTTAGCTCCGCGGCTACCTTCGTGCAAACAGGGTATAACCCTAGAAAATCATAATGGTGTAAATTTCTTGATTCATCTCTAATCATCCAATTTAAAATGTTCATTCTATTTGCTTATAGGTAATACTAATTAGATTTAAGGATCAAGATCATATTGCATAGTTATCTTCCTTTTTTCCTACTCGATATACGGTATTTATATTCGTGCCCTAATTGATTTGGATTCGCGCCACATAAGAACTATTAAAGAGAGAACCGCTCCCTACTATGTTATTTCCCATACCCAAACCTCAAACCCGATATATCTGGTTAACTATGCGTAGTTATTGCCATGCAATAACTTGATTCGTTCCTTTTCCCTTCCCTCACAAAACAAAAAGGAAATTTATAAAAGGAAAAAAGAATAGTACTTGCAATAGCAGAGAGACAATTGAGGAGTGACCTGACAATGTGAAAAGAAGAAGGGAAATCCGTACTAAAAATAGAGTAGGAAGAGCACTAATAAGAGACATTGGAAATGAACATGTTTTTCTTCTTCATGTGCGTAAGTATAGGGTTTTTATTCCTACTTCAAATGTTTGTTCATAGAATCATAGGGTCTTATTCCTACATATAGTGTTTGTTCAAATTTGCCACATACAACAGTAACCTAACTAATCTTTATTCTCTGGAAAGTTTGGTAACTCACGGACTTATAGAAGATTTTCTTTATTCCTCATTTAATTTTAACAAACATATATATACCAAGCTGCTTCTTTAATGTATCGAATACTTATGTTTTTATTAGAGTAGACTGACTGCGTCATATTTTCTTGGGATACAATTCTTTTGCGAATCCTGCATGAACACGGAATGCTTCATGCGCCAAGCTGCTCTTTATGTACTAATCTGCTTTTTTTGTACGTACTATTAAGGGTGTTCATGGTTCTGTTTGGGTCGGTTTTTCCCTAAAAAGAAACCAAACCAAGTAAGTCGGTTTTTCAAATATTAAAATCAAACCAAATTAAGAGTCGGTTTTTTTATCAATCCGACAGGTTTTTTTGGTTACTTATCGGTTTTTTCTTATATGAGACATACACTACCAAACGCATATCCAGCGACTATATTTTCAACGTGACACTATCAAATCAATTGCTCTTTGAGAAATCTATCATTTTCAAGATATGTTGATGATAGTTGAATCAAATGGTGATGAAGAATTTAAGTACTACTAAATTAAAATCGTAATTTATTTTAACATAGTAAATTAATTCTNTTAAGTACTCAATTAAAAATCGATTATTTTTAACATGAAATAAATTCTTGTACTTAGTAAAAGAAAACTACCAATCAAACTAGAATGTAAAGGCAAAGAGTTAGATTACTATAATAGTAAAGAACTAGACTAAAAATACAGATGACTAATATATGCCATAAAATTTTAGAAACTTTATACAAAAATATACATATATATAGGTGTAATAATAAATTTAAATAGCTACTTTTATAGTCAGTTTGGTTCTGTTATTTCGGTTATTTTTTTATTAAAACCAAAGCCAAACCAAATTTGATCGGTTTTTAAAGTATAAAACCAAAACCAAACCAAACTTAAAAAGTATCCACTCTTTTGATCGGTTTGGTTCGGTTTTCGGTTTGGTTCGATTTTTCAGGTTCCTATGAACACCCCTACGTACTATCATGATACTTGTTTAGATTTTTTTCTCAGAAATATTTATCATGAAGGTCAGTATTGCGAATATATCCACGTTTATCTTTTTCTCTAGGTAATGAAAAGAAACTTATTTTCTTGAATATTAAGATAATGCAAATTCTTGATCCTAAGGGTAACAACTATTCCCTTACCAGTAGAACCAAAAAACAGATTTGGTTTCAAAATAGTTTACAGTTTAGAAAAACTTGAAATTTATTTATTACTTTCTTTTTTTCTTTCATATTTACCCTTATTGTTTCAATTAGTAGAGTGTGGTGCGTCTAACGAGATATAACAAATTGTTCTTAAAAATGTTCTTATGATCAAAACTATTAAATTCTTAAGAGATTTGCAAGAATTTTAGAAAACAGATAATATGATTAAGGAAGATAGATAATTTTTTTTTTTTTTGGTCTGTTTAGTTACTTAATCAATAAAGCTCTTTAGTATTCCAAGATATAGGGTAAATAAAGAAGAGATAGCAGGGGTTGATGATATTTGTATTAACTTTACTCAGCCAAATTTCTTATGAACTGTGTAATTAGTCAGATTATGTTGGTCAAGACATCTCAGGATAAAAGCAAGTTTTTCTCCTCAATTCACTCTTAGTCAGTCATTTTTTTGGTTGTAAGTATTATAATCATTTCTGAAAAACAGCTTTGGAGCTTTATGCATATTTGACTAAAATAAAGAGACCTTACAGACGAAAAATAAATAAATAAATAAAATAAACATAATTTGTCCCAACCCCAAACATGAAAGAACAAACTGAAAGCCACCTCTTGAACATTGGATATTATACCACATTATATTGTCACATTTGAAAACATCCATTATTTTCTTAGTATTTTGGTCTTTAGAGATTAGGGTAATTAGTATATATACCGTCGAGGAGATTTCGGGTTCGAGCCGTAAGATTGCGTAAATTAATTAGATATATGTTATCCGATCCTTCCTCGGACCCCGCGCATAGCGGAAGCTTAGTACACTATGCTGCCTATTGGCAGTATAAATTCTTTTATATTATCAAGTTACTTCTATTTATAATAATTGGTAATCTATTTTATTAATTTTAAGATTATAAATCTCAAATTATAAGAAAACTTACTTGTAAATATCATTTGACTAACTTGATAATATATAAGTTTTTTTATACTAACGATGTACAGAACTTAAACGCGTAATTAATAACCTTATAACCAGGATTATCTTTCTGGCTCTAAATACTGTTATGTATATAGTCATTGAAGTTAATTTGATGATATATATAGAAATTGATCAAAACATTTGAATAATTAAAAACCAGTATCATAATGCAACATGATGTCAGTATAGAATCACACCAAACCTCACAACTTAAGTAGAGACAACATTTTAGAATTTGTAACTTATGTCAGCAACAACTTGATAAAAGTGATACTATAATAGTATAAGCTTGTGGTAGCCTAAGTATTGCTTTAACTAGTGTGAAATCTGTTGCCAATTATATTCCCAACCAATAGACTAGAGAATAAAGAAACCCTTGAGTTCAAAATGACAGATACAGTTTATAAAAAAATTGAAAAAAAAATCACCTTTAAATTTTTCTATAATGCATCCAACAATATACTTTTTTTTAATACGATCAGATCATCTAAACAATAATAACTTGTAATTGTTAATAAAAGTGAGATCATTAAGCGGAAAAATAAAGGACATTATTTGTTATAACAAGTTAAGATATACACTAAGAACTTTACATTTTTAACGTACAAGTTAATTTCAAAAGCAAATTCAAACTAACGATCTCATGTTCGAGCTATGAACAACAATAAATCTAGTATAATCTCATGAGTGGGATCTGGGGAGGATATTGTGTACGTAGACCTTACCCCTATCTTGAGAATAGAGAGGTTGTTTTCGCTAGATTCCCGACTCAAGGGAAAAAAAAAACAGTAACAACAACAAGATAATAAGAAAACAAGTGAAATGATGATCAACAAATAGTAATAAAAATTACCAATAACAGAATACAAGACTAACTACTAATACTACCGGTATGGGGACGACACACACTCTATTAATTACTAAACTTCTACACTAATTCTCAACCTCCACAAAATACAAAAGAATTAATCTTGGTAAAAGCGTTTTTGTTTCTAGTGAATTTTATTCGATACAAATTTAAATTAACTACTCCCTCCGGTCCAAAATAAGTGATTTTTTGGCCTTTTTCTTGTGGTCCAAAATAAGTGATTTTTTCAAATTTTAAGAATGAATTAATTATTTTTTGTCTACATTGTCCTTGAAGTAAATGGTGTTGGAATATGTGTTAGGAGTGTTTATGTGAGATAGTAAAGGTTAATATGGTCTATTCCACTACTAATTAATGCTAAAAGGTGGATTTTTTAATTTGTGTGAAAACATTCAAAAAATCACTTATTTTGGACCGAAGAGAATAAAGTTTAATGTAAGTACTAGACACCGAATTAAAATCAAAAGGAAGAAATTCAAACAAAAAGGATATATTGATCTAATCATGGGGGGGGGGGGGGGGGTTTCAAGTGTAGTCATTCAATTCAAAGTAGGATATACTAATTTCAAAAGAGTAAAATTATATTAAATGTGTCATGAATAGATGTAACTGAAACCGAGGAATAGAACTATGGAATGTGAAGACAAACCCAATATGTAGTTGTAACAATGGCCAATTCCAATTCCCTCTATACCCCACCCTGGGGTAGTAGGAGGGGGTGGGATGGGAGA